GATCGTGCAACTCAGTCTAAAGATGACTTATGTTATGACTAACATCTAGAAGAAACAGTTTTTAAACAAATATGCGTGTAGCAAATTCTAAAGTGAAATTACCATTTTATGGGGTGTTCCTATCTATAGGGACACGAGTGAGAAGGTGGTCTATTCATCAATAGCACCGCCATTCTTGAGTACTACCTGCGCCTTTCGCGTCGGCATGCCCTTCACGAGCCCTTGAAAGTAGCTCTGTTGAATTCCCGCCCAACTTCGAGTGATCTGTGCCTTCAATTCGTCTCTGGTGTCAATTTGACGCCCTCCTTTGTAGACAGACCACGCTAGCTGACCCCACACATTCTCAATAGGGTTTAAATCGGGCTCTTGGATGGTCACTTCAGCTTCCTAATGCCTACCGCCTCAATATGGGCATTAGTAAACCTAGATTCGTGAATAGAGGCGTTATCTTGTTGGAAAATAGGCATCCTAATGCCGTGGTTTTGCGAATGTTTTCGAGGAAGAGAAGCAAATAGGTGTCCAGTGTACTAGTGTAGCAGGCAGAATTCTGCCTTCCCTCAAGGAATGCAATCTCAGTTTTTCCATAGAAGTTCATGCCGGTCCACACCATTACGTTACCCCCACCGCTTGCGCGCTTCGAGAAGATTTCTTGGAGGTTCCGAACGTCGTATCAATAGTGTTGGTCCGTCCAAGTTGAATTTCTTCTCGTTGCTGAAGATGACGCGGCGCCAGATGTGCGTTTTGCTTAGAAATTTGGCAGCAAGGGTAGCCCTAGCCACCTTATGAATCGGCTTGATGACGGGCGACGGTTTCCGCTTGATCCACTTGGCGATTGTCGACGAGCTAAGCAGCTTTCAGACGGTACTTGGGCGTAGTATGTGACCGAGTGCCTCTTAAATCCTTTTAGAAGATAGTTTTTTTTACTGTAGCGAGGCGAAGCACCTGTCGGACCAGGCGCTTGGTACATTTAGGACACCTTTCTAGGCGTTTTGGCGTTTTTTGGTTGCTTAGGGGATTGCAGAGCGTTGAAGACGGAATTGACACTGCGGCCTATTGCTCGGGCGATCCAGCGCTTGCTTTTCCCGTCCGCAAAGTGCGCTTTCACTCTCCCTATCTCCTCCGCCGACAATCGCTTGCCTCTTGGCATTCGTGTTTTGCTTAAATTGAACAGTTCCGAGCTAACACCTAGAAGAAACAGTTTTTTTAAACAAGTATACGTGTAGCAAATTCTAAAGTGAAATTGCCATTTTAGGGGGTGTTCCTATCTATAGGGACACTAATTATCAGTCCCATATTGAAGCGACTTTCATTTCTATTGGCTAAAATTATGTAATTAGTCATTACATAAGTCATCTTTAGACTGAGTTGCACGGTCTAATTCCCCATATTGCGAGTGGAACAAAAATATCTTGAGTGTCCCTATAGATAATGGCACTGAATAGAGTCACCAACGAGATTGCACAGCCGGGACACGGTAATTTTCGGCCCTGTCAGTAATTTACTTTGTTTCTTTTTCTACATTTCCTTTTTTTCAAAAAAATTATTGCGCACGTCCTACTGGCCGTCCATTCAGAATCCCCCCCCCGTCCCCGGAACAGGCATCCACGTAGCTGCTGCGTCGTCACCCCCTCCCCAACTATCGGTGAAACAAGGCGCCTCTTACCACTTGCAGGCCGCATCGCCAATTAGTATGAGTGATTCTGTCGGACAGACGTCGATAGACGACCACTCTGCAAGTACTAACGCGCCCACGAACATTAGTGTGCCTTCCCTACACGACCGCGAGCTGTATGCGAGATCAGCTGATCCCTCCGCGAGCGCTAGCTCTATTCGAGAAGCTCCTGCTAGTCTGCCCGTCCAATCTACAGCCTCTTGTGGCCCATTCGACTCATCGGACGAGGAACCAAAGGAAATTAGAGTGGTTTCGCCCCCCTTTTAAACGTGGTACGACGATTGGAACGTGTTTTTTGCTCGGCTGCAAGACTATCAAGACCGTACGAAGCAGTTGTACAGTGTTCGGTCTACCGTGAAGGCGACAACGCGTAATGCAGTCATCAAGGCGAAGAAGAAATGGTCTGAGACCGAGCTCATTCCCGAATCATTTGGAGACTATTACAAGAAGATGCTGTGCACACATGGTTGGAACAAAAGTGAGAGGGGAGACGGCCGAAGGACCGGACATAGAGGACGTAGCACAGGATGTGGAGTTGTTCTCTGCGCGA